AAGGCTCCATAGCAGAGTTTCTGGGGATATTAAAAAAAAAACCACAGAACTTTCCACCTGTTGCTGCGTATATCAGAATGGAAAAATAAACTGGAGAGTTGGAGAGTTCATGTTCTTTTAAGCATTCCAGGTGATTCCAATACATTTTCTGTTCTAGAAAGATTCTTGGCTTACTTCGAGTAACCTGATCCAACATCTTACACTTTTTTTCCTGCCAAGAAGTTCCTTATATTTACTTCTCACCTATTCTTTCTTTGTTTAGTTCTCACTGAAGAGAAAGGATAATTCATAAACATCTTACATGTGTATACACAGGGGAATGTGAATAATGATCATTTTCTTGGGGACCGAGGGCAAGTTAGTTGGAAACCTCAGCATTTCCGGTGTTGAAATAATCTCTTGACCAGATGTTTCCTTCACTGTTTGGAACAGGGCACAGGGATCCCAGTGGAAGACTCTCTGGACCCTAGCTTGGCCAGCTGGATCAGCTGCAGGTGGAGCAAATGGGACCCAAGGGCCCCATCAGGTCACCTTGCTGAGTATGAGTCAGGCCAGCAGCTCTTTATTTCTTCCTGTCTCCCCCACTTCCCACCACTCATCTCTGTGGGCAGCTGCCAGAGCAGGGAACAAGAGTCAGGCAGGGAGAGGAGGGATTTCTTAATGGATCCTCCATCTCTTCAGTGGTTTGGGGTCTGGCAGAGATAATCCAGACCTGAACCAAATTGGCTCCTCCCCTGATGGATTTCGGTTAATGCAATAGCTGCCGAGAAGTAAGGCGGTCTCAGGGAAACAAAATCAATTTCCCCTAGCTGCCCGAGAAGCACAGATCAAAGCCCACATGTCTTTTTTTCTTATTTATTTATTTATTTGTTTATTTTTTTTTTAGTCTGTCTGCTAGCCACGGAGCTCTAATTGCTGCTCATGGTTGGCTTCTTGCCACTGAGGAAGCCTCTCTCTTAGTATCTGACCCAAGACCTTTGAAGAGACATAGGAGTGGTCAATTGCCAAGTGAATCCTAGAAACTCTGGTGATCCAAAACACTGTTCCCTATCCCTTCACATTGGATACAACTTAGCAGTCACCAGAGTCAGCAAAGGAGGCCTGGCTGGCTGTTATCTGGCTGGTTACAGACAGGGAAACAGCAGAAGTCTAGCAGTCTATTGCAATATCATTCCACTGTCAGGGGATAATCCTGATAACACATCCTTACTCCTTTTCCCTTAAGCTAGCATACAACATATTCCATTTCTTTCTGTCGTCGTCATATGTAATTGCTGTTGATCTTTGTAGACTATTCTTCATCACCGACTCCGAGCCTTGTATCCTTCCACCTCCAATGCTCTGTTCACTTATCTGTCACACTCATTCAGTTGCCCTTTTGCACCTCTCTTCTACTCCTTCCCTTCTTGTCATTTTCTGGCACATTTCATTGTCTGCATCCACACTCACACTCATACATGTGTGTGTGTGTGTGATGTGTGTGCATGCACATATGTGTATAGATATGCATTAAAATTTAGGACTGCATATCTGCATATGAGAGATTATACGGCATTTGTCTTCTGAATTTGGGCTCTCTTGGTTAATATAAATTAAATTATATTAAATTTAAAATTATTATTAAATTAATTATAATTATTAAATTAATTATATTAAATTAATTAAAATAAAAGATCTGTCTATTTTCGGGAATTTTCATTGTTTCATTTTTCTTCACAGTAAAATAAATTTTTATGTTTATATACCCATATTTTCATTAAAATTCATATGCTGATAAGAATCTAAACTGATTTTGTTTCTTTGATATCATGAAGACCAGGAACAAACAAGGATGTATATATGTCTCTGTGGTAGAAATACAGTCATGTACGTGTATACTCAATAATAGTATAGCTAGATCATACGGTATTTCTTATTATTAATTTTTTGAGAAAATTCTAAGCTTATTTCTAAAGTGTTCTCAGCAGTCTGAATTCCTATGAGCCATGAATAAGACATCTTTCCCCACATTTTCATCAACATTTATTGTTATGTGTTTCCCTGATGATAGCCTTTGTCACTGGGGTGAGATGGGCTCACAAATCAATTTAACTTGCATTTTCTAATGGCTAAGGATGTCGACCACTTTAAAATATTCATTGACCAGTTGTATTTCTTCTTTTGAGAATTGCCTGGTCATTTCATTAGGCTATTTATTGGTTGACAGTTTATTGGTGAGCATGTATGTGTTGCTTTTTTTAATTCTACATATAGTTTAGATATTAACTCCTTGTCTGAAGCATAACTGGAAAAGAATTTTCTCCCATTCTACAAGATTTCTAATCACTCCAATGACAGGATTTTTTAGCTGTGCAGAAAATTTTTAAAATTTTATCTAGCCTATCACTTGACCTTTCTAAGGCTGTTGTAGATGCCACTTTATTTGTGGTTTTAAAGATGCCCAACTAGATGTAAACACTGCAAGTATATCCCCATGAACCAGTACCTTAGGGAATATAAGGTGACAGAGTCATCTGAGTACCAAATAATACCTGTCACCAAGCCAAAGTTTTATTCCAGACATCTTGGGGAATGTCAAAGTCCCCATTCTCATTCCACATTTCACCTCAAAATTTTTCTTTATGTTTCTAGATCTTGTAGATGAGATCAATGGAGGGGCATTATATAGAGAAGCCTAAATGTTATAAAAGTCTCAGTTGGGCTCCAAAGAGGAAGCAAGCGTAGAGGACAAGGAGCTAATAACGCAGTTTTATAGAGGCTGCTGTTACAGTCCTTCTGGTTTCTGCCACTTGCAGCCTCCTAACTTTCAGCTTGGTGCTCTCAGAGATGCAAATGGAGCTAAATTGTCACTCTCCTGTCAGATGAGATGGTTACTCAAAGCATAATAGGCATAAATAAAAGAGCCAGGCAATAGTGGTTTATGCCTGTATCCCAGCACTTGAGAGACAGAGACGGGTGTGTCTCTGTGAATTGAAGGTCAGCCTGGTCTACAGAGTGAATTTCAGGACAGCCAGGGCTGTTACACAGTGAAACTGTGTCTTGAAAAACAAACAAGCAAAATGTCTATAAAAGAATGAACAGATGGAAACTAACCCAAGTCTCACATGTTCACATTATCCCAGAAAACAGCAATCACCCTCTCTTATCAGTCAACTTTCACTTACTGAGGAAATATATTGAAGGAAATGTTGGGCTAACTTCAGCATGCCCACAAACGTAGGTGAAAAGTTAGCCAAAGGCTGATTTGTGTTACTCATGGAACTCTCCAAGAGAAAACAAGTATCTGGTTTCTAGCAAAATTAGCAACATGTTTGGTACCATGGCATTCAGGAGGAATCAAATTCTACTTTTGATTTCTCTAGAAAACCTTTAGCTGCAAAAAAGTAGAAAAATTAAGACATATGAGAAATAGAATGATAACACATATGTGAAAGATTTATAGTGAAACTGAATAAAGGAGGAACTAGAAAGCCAAGGGCTTCTCAGAGGCACATTTTTTTCCTGAGCTTTAATTACCAAAATTTCTCCAAACAAAGCTAAATACTCTCTGTGGAAAAGAAGATACAGAACCAAGTCTCTCCAATCCCTACTCCATTGAGAATATTTGTCTAAGTTCCTGACCATCTTACTCCAAGACCACCTAAATGCAGTCTGTCACTGGAGAGAAAAATGAAATGCATATATGAATCATATTGCCAGGGGATATATTCAATGGAAGTGAAATACAAAAAAATTAATATCATTAGCATAGGTAGGCACAGGTCCATGTCACAAACAACTGGAATCCAAGCATCCTGACTTTTCTTACCACACTGTGATACTAGTAGAAAAGATGGTGTTAATGGAGTGGATGAAAACTCCAAAACTTGCACCAACAAATGTCAGCAGTGTGTTCTACAGTAGTTCTTCCAGGGCCCCATGGAAACATACAAAATAGTACAAATATTACATACATTTTCCTATCTAAATTGAGTTTTTATTCTTGGTTCAAATTAAGCTAATCTCACCATCTTCTTGCGATCTTCAAGTTTTGCATTCTTTTTCTTTTTTAGACCACTATCCAGCTACCTGCATCCTAGGCCGATTGCACTAAAATTAAGGGAAGCCTGAATAAGGCAAAGAACAAAATAGGGTATGTCAAGGCCACAGGAAATCTGGGTAAAATTATTTTATGGATACCAAATGGTACTAACCTTGGATATAGACCAAAAAGTATTTATGACTGTCTAGAAAACAAATAGCATTTACTACTAATAGAGGTATTTTTTTTTTGGTGGGGATAACTGATATTTACCAAGTGTGTATATATCTAGCTGATCAGTATCCTCTAAAGTAACTACCAAAAAAAAGTTCATAGAGATCACCTTTATTAAGGATCACTGATATTATACTGGACTATTATGCTGTTATTGGAAGTCAGAATGGATAAAAAGTCTTAAAAATTTTATTACATTTGGAAGTGTTCTATGGTATATAGACTTGAACTGTGTACTAAACTGAGAATTATGTAATGACATATTTTTGGTTTGGTATCATTTTATTTTTAATTGACACATGACTTGAAGCACTAAGGCTCTTCTCATTCTAGTTTATAGATTTAGAAGATATATAATAAAGTACTGTTGACTACTGTCTCCATACTTACATATAGAGACAGAATGAACTCTTCCTATGCAACTGTATTTGGGTGCCCATTATTCATTCTCAACTGCCCTACCTCTATTGATCATTGTTCTTTTCTCATATACCTTGATGTCTATTTTAGACAATGTTATTAAGTAGACTCCCTGTAAGTGAGAAAAAAGGAGACAAAGATAATGATAGCAACTCTGTCTACTACCTTAATTTTCTGTGAATTCTCAATGAATTTCAAGGAAATCTCACTCATAGCTTCAGATTAAGAGTAGAAGAGGTGAGAGTGTATTTTCCCATACTGCCATTTTCCCCACTTCCATTACCCCAAATCTCCACAACCTACTCAATCCCTAGGATAGTCTTACCTCCTACAAACTGTGCAGCTCCCATGCAACGCCCCATCATTCTAGAGATGAGTTCCTCCATGCAGCATCCTAAGACAGCAGCCATTGCTACCAGGAGTAACAGCGCACAGCCAGCACCTGTCACCACTGTACACATCTGCCATGCCAGGCTTGGGATGGCAGTGAAGCTGGCATAGCGCCCACATTCTTCCACCATGATCAGATTGTGCCCGTCTCCCCGCACAGGATAGTTGCATCTCCTGAAGGTGCTGAAAGAGACTGGCTTCCCTAGCTGTGATCCAAACAGCCAATAAGGAAGGAAGTAACTGGTAGAACTCGCCACAGCAGTAACTAGGGACAGGAAGGCCCAGAAGGTGCCTACCAGGGTGAGGCTGCTCCTCATGCTCTCAGGTTTCTCTGAAAGGATGGGAAGACGAGATGATTCACAGCAGCAAAAGCAAAAAGTCACGATGTAGGCTCCACTGGCCTGTTTTCATCAGGTTGGCAGGTTCTGGGGCTCACAGGTGTGCCATGTGGCTCTTGCTTCTGGAAGAGATCATTCTCTCAAGTGTCCTTTGAGTCTTTGTGGGATATTGCTTTCCATCATCCTTTCCTTCTGAGTTCTATGGTTCAGAGTTCTATGGTCGCTAGGCTGCAGTGGAAAAGTCACAGAACTGATTTAGTGACTGCTATGGTAATGCATATGGAGCCTGATCAGTCAACGTATTACTCTTGTCACACAATATGGAACCAATCATGAGAAGAGAGTATGAAAGTAAGACTGTCGCAAGACTCCCTGGGGATTCTAGTTAGATGAGTTTTTGACACACTTCTTCAGAAAATAAAGAGGAACAAAGATCACGCATCTGCCCCTATTGTAGAGGTAAGATGGCAGTGTGAGATGTTCCATTTTGACTTAGAGTGTCCAACAATGTGTATGCTTTTCACAGAATAATCAAAACTAAACTGGTAAGATAAAATAAAAGCTGCCTAGTTTTGTATTGTATAACTATTACTGGGTCACATCCCACACAAGAACTAAGCAATAACCTGCCAGCCAGCAGCACTTATGCCTAGACTAACTACCAAGAAAATCATCCACATCCTATGCTGGGTACAGCTAATAAAGCTTCTCATCTCCCAGAAACTTATCAAGATCAGGCTTCCTCCGGGGAAGGAACATATATGTACAGCTGCATGGGACTTTCAAGATTCCCTTTGGAACAAGTAAGCTCAGTTTCAGGATACTGGCTTTCCAGTGCTAGTAGCCTCAGCCCAGCTCACAAATGGCTTTCCCAGACTCTCCTCTGTCAAGAATCAACCACTTCCTTTCCAATCCATTAACCTGCCATTGCTTTCTGGCTAGTTTCTCCACTAATGCAGCTAGAGGCCACACTGTAGCTTGATGAAATCGCTGTAAATGTCTCTAGCAGGCAGATGGAGGAATATTTCAGAAACTTCTCTCTGATTCACCACCACTTCTTAGAATTTTAAGTTGTAGTGATATTGGAAAGGACGAGTGCAAAACACAGGGACTAACTGTATGAAGCCACCATAATGTCACTTTGAGAGATCAACAGGAACAAACCTTATCTAAGGTGTCAGGATCTAGGTGTATGTGATTTGTAAGCATCATCAGATACTGTTTGGCACAGGGTATGCAGTCCAATTCATGTTTGCTTAATGAACTTTTTTTTTAAATCATCCAATTCCAAGACTGGCAGAAACTTTAATGAATCACCTAATTCAGCCTTCTTGTTTTACATATGTGTGAGTTTGGCTCAGTAAAGCAGGAAGTGATTTTTTTTTTCAGTCACTGTAACCAGACACACCGGAACCAGAAACTGGAAATGCAGATTACTAGTCCAGAGTTTGGAGGCCACGCAGTGCTAACCTGCCTTCGCCTATCGTTTTACAGATGTGAATCTGTGGAGGAAGTTCTTTACCCAAGAGGGAAAAGCTAGAGGGATACACAGAACAAACTAGGGTCCAGTGATTTGTTCCCCAGTATTATGCTCTCTTTCCACTCCATCACAATTCCCTTCTTGAAACATATGTGTTTTGTGCTGTGTGCTTTGTGCAGGAAGGGAGCCGAGACCATAAATTGCAGGTGCTTACTTTGGAATGTTAAGGTTTGTAAAGAAAGTACCATGATCTGTTCCCCTGAGGATGAGGCTTTCTGCCTGAGAGTTGGGAAAATGAAAGAAAGATGTGGTGAGGGACTGGAGGCCAACAGGGGAGGGAGTGGAACTGGTTTGAGTAATTGCTTTGAGAAGGCAGGTATCCTTTACCACAATGAGGTAATGCTTCTGCGTGTTATGCTGGCATTTGTAAGAATATGAAAAGCACCATCAGTGCTCCATCATGGACTTCTTGCTGAGACCAGATGGGGAGAAAGAGAAAGCTAGTGAACAGCTACTGGCATCATCATCAATGCCCTTTCTCAACCTATCGTTGCACGTCCTGTGCTCAGAAATCTTCTCGGGTTTGTAAGTATTACAATTAGCTCTCCAATTCCATATAAGCAAACTGAGGGTCTGAAAGTCAAGTGATTTTCACAAGGATACACGATGACTCAATAATAGAGTTATCATTTCTCAGTCTCCTACCTACACACAACCTTCTCTTCTTGCACAGTGTTACCCCAATAGAATTATAGCATCATCCTGCATTATTACACTTAAAAATCTTCGTAATGTCATATCCACAAAAGTACTTCAGAATGGGGCAAAAATTACAAGCCAAGACAGAGAAGTTCAGAGGAATGTTCATTTCTCAAGACATAACATATAACAAGAGTGTCGACTGCTTCAAGCCCAGCACTTGTAGCCTGACGTCATCACCTTGAGCTCATCCAGCATGATGACTAGGAAGAATGGCAGAAAATATAAGGCAGAAGAAGACAGTGGCATCAGTGAGTAATACACTGTGGTAGAAAAGAAACCCAGCTTTGTAGAGTCCACACCTAAACCCACAAGTGCTGGAGAGGAAAAGGCAGGGGGATTGAAAGCTTAAGTTCATTCTGGGCTACACAGCCTGGCATTCTTAAATTTTAGTATGAATATATTTAGCTAAAGAAAACTCAATGTCTTTTAGAACTTAAATACTTTAAACTTTGAGAAAAACGAATTCCCTTATTTTATTAAGACTTGAGTAAACAACAAAAGCTGCCTGGAACTGAAGGATTTTCTGTAAGTAATGTGGGCTTGTCTGTGACAAATTCAGAAAAGTCCAAAGCTACCTGCGGTGAGATGATTTAGAATTGCAGATGTGGTTAGTCAGCATCATTAGTGGGCAGCAGGTTGAGAATCACTGCCATCGATAACTCTCTAACGGGCTCTCTTCATGACTCAAAAGATATGAAGTTAAAACTGACCAAGAAAGCCAGCATTGGAAAGATGAAATGTATACATTTTGCCTCATGCCTCTCTCAAACACGGACTCTTGACCTTATCAGATTAATGCTTAGGTTGTGGGGTTTTGGTGGCTTATTATTCCTGGAGCACATAATGAGAGTGAGCCTACCTTTCCCTAGCTGGGCAGAGAACCAGAAGTATGTGTGGAGTCTGTGCACCCACATTCCTGCATGTTCCCAGTTGTTGGGCAGTAAAGCACAGTTTAGCAACTGCTTTTAGTTACATCACCTGGAACGGAGTAATCCCCTTGATGGCAGCCTTCTAAAGCAATCCGAGTTCATTCCCAGAAACTGGTTCAGTCATTTTATTCTCACCTCAATAAATATCACAAACAATGCTGTCCTTCGTTGTATCCTAATGACCCAAACATTTCGTATGTGTGCTACCTCTGTTTCCCTGTCCTGAAAGGTCTAGCTATACAGACACCCTGCATTTTCGGAATCCAGACATCACCACCGTACTTCCATTAGCCAAGCATTGGTAGGTAGAGATTTCACTTTGGTTTGATGTGTTCTTTTATTAATATATTTTCCATCCCTCAAAATGAATACTCTCCTTCTCTCTATAGCAACCATTATCATAGATTTTTCTTAGGTTTTGCTATCACATTTATCTACTCTGATGTGATCACTTAATATCAATTAAATTAGAGACATTTTATATTTATGTTTTGCATAATGGAAAAGGTGAGGGGACATCTTCACCTATCTCACCTCTTCCCCAGTCCTGGTAGAAAAGCTCACAAATGTTTTCATTCCCACTGGAGTACATTGTATAAATTCTGAGTTAAAAATAAATAAAACAGTTCCCAAGGGCAACAGGATTCACACAAAAGAGACTGAGCTGCAGGTGCTGAGCAAAAATGACTGCAAGCATGCTTGAACGACAAGTTGGTTTATTGGCATTAGTGTGAGTAAAAGATACAGACAAATCTTTCTCCTCAGCTCCCGGGTAGTGTGTACTGGCTACCTGCCAATTCTGTTACATGTATATCTTCTTCAGTGTTGACACATTACCGGGAAATGAGCAAGACGTGCAGACATGTATGTCTAATAGGTGGAGTTCTCTTGTATCAGGCTGACTATATAGTCAGTCTACCCATTATAGACCTTTCTCATTTAAACAATACCACAATAAAGTCTACCATGTCTCAATCATTTCCTGACTACCTTTTCTGCCACCTACACTCTCAGAAGCTTCTCCTCCACAATAACAAGTGCTCCAAAGTCTTCTGTGCTTGACTCCCTCTCAAGAAAATGTCACTAAATAGGTTTTATTTTCTCCTGGTACCTTTGTGACTCTAAGAACAACTCACTATTTTTTGACTTCAGTTTTCAAGATTGCTGGAACTTCTTCTAGGTTTCCTTCCCCAGCCATGCCTCTCTTTTGTGTGGCCTGGAAAGCGTTGCAAAAGCAGCTGTGTTGGGTTAGTTTGCTTATTTGCCTGTACATCACCATCCTTAAGTACAGCTCTCCGAGACTAAAACTTGAGAATATATCCAGGAAGCAAGACAGTAAGTGGATACAGAGAACCACCTGAGCAATCAAATATCTAGAAAATTGAGGTCGTTGTTCTGATACAGCCACGCTCTCTGAACCTTTGCAATACACTCATTCAACTTAATAAAAAACCTAGAAGGTCACCTCTAAATAAAAGTGCTAACCATACACTGTTAGGAAAAAAAAAAACAGAAAAGTGCCACATATAGTAAGTCATTCTCCTTCTCAAGAGTTTGGGGTTGAAAATGTGGGTACTAGAATGATTTTTCCAAATTTCATATGTGCATCTCCTGACTCTGAAGTCTACTTCTGAACACCCATCTGTCTAATGCTTTATCAACCAGCAAGGACGATAGCTAGGCAGAAGGCCAGTACCCCATCTTCAATGATCAAGTGGTCGCATAGAGAATCTTCCCCACACTATCGGCTCATTCAAAACTGCCCCTCAGTTGCCCTTTCAAAATAAGGATAAACCCTATGCACACATTTTCCTCCACCTTTAGATTCATAATGACAGCCTTCTATTGTTGTACAATAAACCTTCTTTTACATGTCCTCAGACAGAACAAAATGCCACCACATCTGAACAGAAGGCAGACTAAATGGTTTTGCCTTCAGTTCAGAATAGTTGGGATGCTGAAAAGTCTCTGATATTAGGGAGCTCTACCTCCCCTGCATCAGGAAGCTCTTTCAAAGAAGAAATTGTAAATCTCTCTCTCTTCTCTCTCTCTCTCTCTCTCTCTCTCTCTCTCTCTCTCTCTCTCTCTGTGTGTGTGTGTGTGTGTGTGTGTGAGTGAGTGTGTGTGTGTGTGTGTCTCCAAGAGCCACTGAATTCTATTTAATGAGAATCTGTAACTTGCAATTTTTTAAAACCTCAGTCCATTCTGCCATTCTGATGGAAACTCGGGACTGAGAAATACTCTTTTAGTGGAAACGAGTGAGATTTGGGAATCAAATTTGATGCAGACACTTGAGGTTTTCCCCTTAAAGGTGACATGACTATGGGAGAAATCACTTCAAACTTCTGGGTTTCTGTTTCATCTATTCTGGAAATAATGCCCAAAGTTCAAGTGAAGCACGGTTTACCTGACACCAGAGTAGCTGTCAGTCATCCTTTGTGCTGCCAAAGAATACAACAATCTCTCATGCTAGAGATAACTTGATATTACTCAAAAGAACGAAATGTCTTCTATTCTCCCCTCACACGCTACCCTCCTCCCGCCCTCTGCCTTCCCCCTACCCTCTGTCCTGCCCCCCACCCTCTCTCCTTGAAACTGCTCTAACAGTTGTTGTTCCCGGGCTGTTTAACTTCTCCTTTCCCACTATAAAGCGAAACCACTTGGCTGAATGTTCTTTGTTAGCATGGCTTAGCAGTTAACTTCTTTCAGCTCTCTTGTAAATCATCCTGCTTGGCACATAGTAGGAACTCATAAACATCTTCTGAATGAATGCCGTGATTTAACGCCAGCCCTACTGCTCTCAACATCTGTGTTTCAGTTTAGCCTGATCATTGTTTCAGTCCCATAATTTCAATTTAGGCAAATCTAAGACATGGCCCTACCACATCGGGAAATCAGATCCATTTTTACTTGGATGGACAAGTCAGAACAAAATCCCTCCCTCTACTCCCAGAGCCTCTCCTCTCCTCAAGTTACCAACTCCCTTGGGGAAAGCAGCTAGCTCTTAACCCTTAGGCCTTCAAACCTTGTCTATATGAAATAGGAATCCAGTACTGATCCCGCTTAGACTGTGCAAACAACCAACTATGAGGAAAGAAAATTCCACCAGGCTGCCCTTGGGAAGAAAAACAGCTTCTCTGAGCCTTGACATGAAAGGACAGGAAGCCTGAGAAAGGAAGCTGCAAGGAAGAGCTGAGCAAGGGAGCAAAGCAGGGGGTTTTGCCCAGCTGCTTCAGTTGCATTTGGCCGAGATGCATATTTACCTTCGAACCATGAAGGCTGATTGACTTGTTCCCTTTCTTCTGGTTCAGATTTGAGAAGAAAGAAAAAAAAATAAAACTTCTCCTCACAGCTTGTCAGACAGGGATGGGAATCCCAGTTGCTCTTTGCAGTGCCGCCTGAAAACCTAGCTGTACCTTTGGGAGAGAGGGGCGGAGTCCAGTGTAATGGGAATTAACTCCAGCTACGCTGGAGGCTTCAAACTCAGCCTCTGACATGCAGACACTTGAAGTAGAAACCAGCTCAGCGGGCACTAAGCTCTCAGCTCTCACTCCCTTACCTCCCAGCTGCTGAAGTCAGCTCTCTCTCTCTCTCTCTCTCTCTCTCTCTCTCTCTCTCTCTCTCTCTCCTCTCCTCTCCCCCATCGTGTGAGTGTGTGTGTGTGTGTGTCTATACTCATTCTTAAACTGCATTTTGATGGCTCAGTTCCTCACCTACTGAATGCCAGGTGAGGAACTGAGGTTCTCCCTAACTTTTTCTCCAAAGCTCAAAAAAATCTCTACCACGGGGATTAGATAATTGAAAAATAAAAACTGAGAGAACACACTCACCCTTAAACAGACTTTTCCTTTAAACTGATGTCTATTATTTGGGGGAAAAATCATACTCCAATAGAGAAATCTTTGACTGTGCGATGATGCAACCTAACCTCTAAGAAAAATACTGAGGACCGGAGAGATGATCTCATGTGTAAAAATGCTTGCTGCCTATGCTAGAAAACCTGTGTTTGATCCTCAGAACCTATTGTAGGAGAGAACAGACTCTGGATAGTTGTTTTCGGAACTCCACAGGCATGAGGTGGCACAAATATGCATGCATTCACAGCCCCATAACACCCACACTAAGAGTAGTAGCAATGCATAGAATTAAAATGTCAAAAGACGAAATCATGAAGAGCCAGATGTGCTGGCACACAACTGTAGCCCCAGTATGCCAGAGACTGAGGCAGGGCAATCACAAGTCCAAGGCTTACTTAAGCCATACATTAAAAGAGTTGTAATACCTTCTGAAACAGTGTAGCACCAAACATCAGTGTCTAACATATCTAAAAGCACAAGGAACTTCTCTTTTCTCTTTGGGAAAAGAGCCCAGTGATGGGGGGATGGCTAACTTCCCTGAAGCCCTGCTCCAGTCTAATACCGTCTCTCTCATCTCTGAGCATCCCGGGCACACTGCATTTATTTTCGGAAACTTGTCAGCATCCCTCTTGTACACTTGTGCATATGGATCTTATTTCACCTTCTATCTAGATGCCTTGTGAACAGGAATTTGGCTCAAAATGAGCTGTAAGAAGGAAGGCTTAGCAGAGCATTCTCGAATGATCTAAAGGTGCCTCTACAATGACTCGATTACCTTCAAAGGGATGCTCTTAAAGCTGTCAGTCTTGTTTTTCTGCATCTTACAGCAACAATACAAAAGGCAAAGGTAAATGAATTAGTAGCTTGATATATTCATTGTGCTATAATTATTTAATGAGCCTACTAAACTGTCTGCTTGGACACACACATAAATCCTGCCCTGTCTTTTATCATCTATATTCATGCACACATTCATTTATCAAGCTATTTCCTGTCAGCAATTTTTAACCATATTTTTTCTTCCCCAACCCCCTGATAAACCACATTTCCATTTGTAATAAGAGCTTACTGAGGCACTTCCTGCAGGGAGGTACAGATGACTTTTCCCATAGAATGCCTGACTTTTGGCAGTGTAAACTCATCTGAAATTTTCAACAAGCTCCTAGTTGTTACCTGCCTAGGAGTCACTACTTCAGACATAGGACCATGTAGAGCAGTGGTTTTCAACCTGTAAGTTGAGACCCCTTTGGGGGTAAAATGACCCTTTCACGGGGGTCTCAAATCAAATATGTATATAATGATTCATTACAGTAGCAAAATTACAGTTAGCAAGTATCAACACAATTGTATGGTTGGAGGTCACCACAGCATGAGGAACTGTATTAAAAGGTCAGAGCATTAGCACAGTTGAGAACCTCTGGTGTAGAGATGAGTGTATGCCTTCTTTCATTAAAACAATTCAATATGTGCAGACGTATAGAACCTGTGAAAGATAAGCTGAAAACTTTGGCAGGTGCAAAACAATTGGTTCTACTCTGAACTCTGCATATATTACATTGTATTTAATAACTACACCCATCACTTGGAAAATTGTCAATATTTGGAACTCAGAGAGGGCTGCCTTTTTTACTTCCCTCTTTTTAATCTTTTTCTGTTGGGCCTCCAGTTCTCTCGAATGGGATAGTAGAGGTACTTACGTACATATTGAATAATGATAATGTTTATTTTTCTTATTTTTAACCTAACAGTTGAAAAACTGACTCAGAAAGAAATACTTTTGACCTTGTGGGACTGGATTTCTGTTCATTTAAGTATGCTATTTAGTTGGCATGAAACTCACACCTATAATCCTAGAACTCTGGAGCCTAAAGCAGGAAGACTCCAAGTTTCTTACCAATCTGGCTGCATAGCAACAGTCTACCTCAAAAACAAGGGAAACGCAAAACAAAGGAAAACAAAATAAATGACTTTAAACCATGCTTCAATAAGACATTTGAGACAAATTGAGAAGTAGAACTTCTTATATTTAAGCAATGGAATGGTGTACAGTAGTTATAATAATGTTAAAATTCCTACCCATCATGGAACATCTAACTCTTCTATCTAAAATATACAAAAAGAACACGTGGCTGATGGGTGATTCTAATTCAAATGGCCATCCCTATCCCTAGTTTCTCAAACATTGCCTTATACATTCAGTAGCATTTTCCAAGCAAGAGTAATACTCTCACAACATTTTGTTGTCTAGACAAGGAGTCACCAAGTCAGAACCCTTGCATGCCAAAGCTAGTAGGCTGCCTGTTTGTCTAAAGCTTTATGGGCACACAGCCACAGCATGTTCATTTCTGTATTATCTATGACACTTTCATGCTACCACGGCAGACGTGAGTCGTTATAAAAGAGATCTTATGGTGCACAGAACCTGAAGATTTATTATCTGGCTTTTTACTGAAACAAAATGTGTTAAGTCCTGGTATAGACTCCTGAGCTATAGATTATAGCAGAGACACCGTGCTAATTGTAAGGAGAAAGAGTTAAAAATAAAAGAGGGGAAACTACACAAAGCAGAAAAGCCACTTGGTTCCAGCTGTGGTATACTGCCAACCAATTCATACCATTTCTTTAATTTCTACCAGCTAAAAGTCAACAATACTCTAGTGTTCACTATAATCCGGAAAGCTAGTAGTGATGTGAAACTTTCTCTGTTAACTAATCCTTTGAATCTGTATCCAGATTTCTCACATTTCACGTTTTGCTTTTAGTTAGAGCTGCTTATTCTTCCATGTTCTTGCTTAGGGTTTTATAAAATGTAATTATATGTGTTCCAAGAAGAGCACATTTATTTTCAGGCTATTTGTAAAGACCCATTGTCCTTGAATTCTGAGAAGTTGGCATATAAATGCTTTCAAAATTTAAAAACACACAGACTCCATGATCTGTCAAGCATGGGAGTCGAATACAGGAAGATATGCAGGCCAGTGGAAAAAGTTTCAGTTCTCAGAGCTGAGAAAGTGAGTTGGCTGATAAAGTCTTTGCCACACAAGCATAAACACCTTGTCTGAATGCTAGCAGTCAGGTAAAAAGCCTAGTACGGTAGTGTGTGCTTAGAAGCCCAGGGCTAAGGCTATGAAAAGGCTTGAATTGCTGGAGCTTACTGACCACACACACCATAGAATATTTCCCCCAAAGTTTTAGCTCTGTACTAAAAACCCAGAAATTAAACTTATACTCTTTTTGTATAGGAATATCAGAAATGGGGATTCTGGAGGTTGCTTAGTGAATAAATGTTCTTGCCATCAAGCCTGACAACTTGAGTTCAATTTCTGGAACCCATACGGAGAAGGGAAAGACTTAATCCCTGAAAGTTGCCCTCTGACCTCCACTTGTATGACATAGTATATGTTCATACATGTGCGTGCACATACCTAAATAAATGATAATGTAAGAGTTTTACAAAATCAGAAATAATAACTTCTTTACTCAATTTTATTATCAATTCAGCAGATGAATGATGTTAGCCGTAAACTGAATCAGCTACTTGTCTCATTGCAGTAATTAGATACATTTTATCATGAATTTAATAACATGTATCTACATTGCCTTTATCAGCAACCTAAGGATGAAAGATTTATTTTGGTTTAGAATTTGGCTTCTACAATTGATTATGGTAAAAAGTGTGTGACTGATACAATCAAATGTAGTAGAGAGTGTATGGCAACAGGAATTTGCTTATAACTACATGTATCAAGAAGCAGAGTGCTCATCTGATTTTCTCCATTTCTTTCTTTCTCCCATGCGTATGTGTGGGTGGTATGTGTTCTTGTGTATGGACATGTGCATATGGAGGCATGAAGTTGATGCAGAGAGTCTTCTTTGATCACTCTACATTATATACTGAGACAGGGAGTCTCGGTTGAGCCCAGAGCTTGCTAACAGTTAGTCTGTTAGTTAACTTATTCCACTGATCCTTTCTCTACATTCTGAGGACCCATCCATCCTTCACATTGGTTCTGAGTATCCAAACTCTGGTCCTCATGCTTTCAGAGGAAAGGTTTTAACCACTCATGGAATGGTACCAACCATATTCAAGTACATCACTATATACATCTTGCCAGGTTAAAGATGAACATTAACCTGGGGCTGGAGAGATGGCTCAGAGATGGGCTGCTCTTCCAGAAGTCCTGAGTTCAATTCTCAGCAACCAAATGGTGGCTCACAACCATCTGAAATGAAAACTGATGAAAACTGGTGCCCTCTTCTGGTGTACAGGAACACATGCAGGCAGACACTGTATACTATATATATATATATATATATATATATATATATATATATATATATGAACATTAACCATCACAGCAAGGCCTAGTGTAACAGTAGATGTTTAATAACTTCCTTCAGAGTCTGAAGACGAGGCGCAGTAAAGCTCTGACTTTGGACAACACTGATTCTTATAGTCCAGTCACATCAAATTTCAAGTTACTAGCTTGATACCAATGAGGATGATATTGAGAAGGCATAGCAGTCAACTTTAACAAGCTAGTATAAATTATCTCCAACACAGCACAGGAACTGAGAGTTTGAAAAACTGTCACACACACACATACACATACACACACATACATTTGATCTATATCCATTTGTAAGCTATATACACTAATGAATTGGATAACTATTGTGATCGTTTCATCAGGTACACATG